CATCGCGCGAAGTCGAAGCGACGAGTGTGCATATTTTTCATTCACACCTTTAGTGTTTGCTCCACACTCCTCGCTTGGATTTGCTACCTACCTCCTTTCTCGCAACACCTGATAATATGAGCGTACAAAAGAGTCCAACAAAAACCAACTCACAGCCGGATTTATCGATGATAAGCGATTGTGACTTCATAAATATAACTGCAAGAAATAGGAAAACGCCCGACTGTCACTGAAACCTACAGCAACTCATGGATGATTTTTGTAATAGAATGATGACCACGCTCACAGCAAAGCTGGATTCTCAAAACAATACCATAAAGTGTGTTTTGAATGGCATTCGCGAGGACATCAATTAATTTAAGAAAGAGATTAGTGATGTAAATTCTTCAATAAAAAAATTGGCTGACGAACAAGCTATTGTGATAAAAGATGTTTGCGAGTTGAGTTCCACAACGTTGTTGATCTAGTTTCAAGCGAGATTTCAGAGCTGCGATCCATAACAACTAATCTTACTGACCGGCTGAAAGCGAAGGAGCAGCTTGGGAGGATTAATAACGTGGAAATTTCTGGGATACCACTCTTAAAAGGCGAAAATTTAAATAATATTATACATGATATCGCTACGAAGATCTACGAAAGATTTACGTTATTGCCAACAGATATTGATTACATTCACCGTGTCCGTCGTTTCAACTCGACGAGGAACGAAATCCCTACCAAACACGATAGCAGTACCTCTAGACTCATCTTCCATACCGAACATCATCATCAGATTCTCACAAAGATATCGCAAGAACGAATTGCTGGCTGCCGTGCGCGCGCGACGAGGATTAACAACTGCTGACGCAGGTCTAAGCGGGCCCACCAGTCCCATCTACGTCAATGACCACCTCGCGCCGCACAACAAACAATTATACAAACAAACCCGCCTTCTTGCCAAACAGAAAGAATACAAATACGTGTGGTTGTCTGACAGATTTTATTGCATAAAAATGATACGTTTAAAGTTCAACTTATATCATGTTATGCGGATCTTAGTAAAATTAAATAACTGTATGTCGTTATCTATTTTAATGTCTTGAAAGGATTTTTTTTGTTACAAATACTTACATTTTAAGACAACATTACCTATTAAAAAGTGTTGTAAATTATATTTCTCACGAAACTTTAAATACTGTTATTGTGTTGTTACTGTTACTGCTGTCTTCTATTATTTGTGAATGTTAGTGGAACCCATAATATTCCATTCTGTGATATTACTTTGCCGTATACATAATATTTCATTCTGTGATATTACTTTGCCGTATATTCTATACAGTGGTTCATAACAATAACTTGTCTATCTACTACCAAAACGTGAGGGGCTTACGCACAAAATCGCACGATTTTCTGAAGAATGTTCTGTGTAACGATTATGATGTGGTCTGTGTCACTGAATCATGTCTTAATAGTAATTTCTATGACAGTGAATACTTCGACAGTCGATACGAGGTTTACCGATGTGATCGCAACGTTACGGTTAGCGGTCGCGGGATGGGTGGCGGCGTACTGATCGCAGTGCGGCGCAGCCTATGCCCGTCGCAGCTCCATCACGAGTGCTCGCCGACGCAGGAAGAAGAGGTTTGTTTACAGTACGTTTGCACTGAGAAACATCCAACACGTAATTTTTTGTAACAAATCGCATAAAATAAATCACACAACATGTTTTGTTGATGGTGGCGTTCGCACTCACAAAAACTGTGTAAAATTTTCATCAGATATTCAAACTTAGCTTTCAACATGACAATATTTCTACAAATTTGATTTCAAACACTTTGTTTCTGTAGTTATAAAGATATAATATAGTTAAAATATGTAATGTACATAAACTGTCAAACATATTTCACTACAACATGTTCTTTGACTATGCAAACGCTTTTTAAAAAAGAAAACAGTATTTAAAACATGTTTTTTTTTGTGAAAATCGCGTCAGTGCAAACTCACGGTTATCTATCCCATTAAGTGAAACATTGTCCCGTGCGGGCTGCGTGACGTCACCGCACGAGTTTAATACTCGATCGTCGGTTCAGCGCCGCTTACATATTATAGCAACTCATATACCCCACGGTTGTAACCACGAATCACAATTGACATCGTTCTATGCCAGAGCAAGCGATTTTATAATCTCAAATCCCGACGATACTTATCTAATACTGGGCGACTTTAACGTCACTTATGCTGACTGGTATTTTAAATCTTCTAATAATTGCATAGAAATACTTACAAACATTAACAGTCTCGCATGTCTTACTACCGATTTTATGAATATATCGTCACTATTGCAATACAACAATCAATTTAGTATTAATTAGATTATTAGATTAAATTTTTAGTAATACAACATGTAATGTTACGCGACCTGAATTTCCGTTAGTACCCGAGGACTTGCACCACAAATCCCTACTAATTAGTGTGAATTTAAAATCCCCCGCCCCATTACCCTCCGCCAAAATTAAGAAAAAAAAACTTTCATAATGCTGACTTTCGCTCATAAAAACTGGACTTAACACTGTTAACTGGGAGAAAATAACATGACGGATATTGATTCAATGACGATTTATTTTTAAAAATTTTAAACAATTTGATAGACACATACGTACCTACTCAAAATCTTTGTAGCGCAAATAAACGCCCACCGTGGTTTACTTCTTGTCTCATTAAACTAGAAAAGGAGAAGCTTAAATATCATAAGAAATGGAAACTTTAAAACAACTTACGAGACTACCAGACCTTCTCTTGTCTTCGGAAGAGGTTTAAGAGGAAGGAGGCAGAATGTTATAAAAAATTCTTTGGACTTTCTGAGGATAATATCAAAGCCTGTCCAAAGTTATTTTGGTCTTTCGTAAAGTCAAAAAGCTTCTAGTTGCATTCCTGAAAAAATGATATATAAAGCTAAAATTATTTCCACTGGCCGTGAAATACGCGAGGCTTTTAATGATTATTTTCATTCAGTTTTCATCCCTTCTACCCGTCAAAGTTCTAATCATACACTTTCTTACTCAGGCAGTTCAGTCGTAGATATACATTATATTAACATCTACCACGATAATGCTATCAAAGAACTGAAACAAGTAAATATTCATAAAGGTGCAGGGCCCGACGGGATCCATCCTCTTCTCATATCCGAATGTGCCGAAGAACTTGCAACACCCATTACAATCATATTTCGTTTCTCTGTCCAAACTGGGACATTTCCCAGTTTATGGAAAGAGTCTTTAGTAACCCCCATTCCAAAAAATAAGAGACGTGAGTGTATAGACGAATACAGACCTATATCGAAACTTTGTATCTTTGGCAAAATCATAGAAAAGATAGTAACCGCTAAAATGTCGTACTCGTTTCGTAATCACATTTCCCAGGAACAACACGGTTTCTTTAAGTGCTACGGCACTTTTTTCGTTGACACCAATATGTTAACTTTTAATGACTTTCTGTTGCATGCCATGGATGATGATAACCTACAGGTGGATGCCGTGTACACCGACTTTTCCAAAGCTTTCGATAAAATAAATCACGATCTGCTAATAAAGAAGCTTGCAAGGGCCGGTGTGCATGGCAGCCTCATTAAATGGATCCAATCCTACATAAGTAATAGAAGTCAAGCAGTCTTTGTAAAGGGTTATTCGTCACGATTTCTTCCAGTACCTTCGAGTGTGCCTCAAGGGTCTCATATTGGGCCTTTACTATTTTCAGTCTATATAAATGACATTGGCAATGTCCTGAAACATAGTCACCATCTCTTGTATGCTGATGACACTAAGTTGTTTCGAATCGACTGCCACAAACTCCAAGAAGACTTACACCGATTACATGCATACTGTGAGTTTAACCATCTATTCCTAAACAGCGATAAATGCTACATAATATCGTATACTCGCAAAAAATCCCTTTACTTACGACTACCACATAAATCAGAAGGCCTTGAATAGAGTAACCACAATCAGGGACTTAGGTATAATCATGGATTCGACCCTATCATTTATTCCACATATTGAGCACATATTAGCTTCGGCTTTTAAAAATCTAGGTTTTATTCTACGAATAAGTAAACCCTTTAAACGTCCCGAAACTCTAAAAATTTTATACTTCTCTTTTGTCAGATCTTTCCTTGATTTTTGCAGCACTGTTTGGAGCACTTGTTATGAAATTCATATTAGGAGAATATAGAGTTCAAAAATTGTTAATTAAATCCCTAAATTATCGCTAAAATATTTTAATTCAGTCATACGCCGATTTACTAAAAAAATAAAATTTACTTTCTCTTTGCAATAGGCGTAAAATGTTTGACATAGTATTTCTATATAAAATTATTAATAACCTAGTCGATTCCTCGTTGTTACGAGTACTTAGCAGATTGTCATTTGTTTCCCGAGTCCATCTGCCTGTGCGCCCCTCACGTCCAAAACCACTTTTCGTAACTCCCCAATATCATAAAAATTATACACGTAACTCATTTGTGTATCGTTCCACTTACACTTACAATAAAAAATTTACAGATATTGATTTATTTAATACATCAATATCAAAGCTTATATCCGCTCTCTTTCAAAGTTTGGCTTGTGAATAATCTAGTTACCCATCACTGAAAATGTTGAAGCACTGAATTCGCTAACTGAATCTGAATTGAATTTGTAAGTGTTATAATAATCATATTTTTAACATAGATTTTTTTCTCTCTTTTCCTTAATTGCACACGAAATGTTAAGTAGTTACCTCATCTTAAAACTTAGTGTAGTATTAATAAATAAATAAATTTATAATGTCCTTTAGTCATAAAAGTGGCTCAATAAGTTTAAAATATTGTAAAATTTTAGTTGAAGGCACTATAGGTCTTTAGTTAATTTATTATTTATCCATGTTACTATCTATTTACATGACTGTTTGTTGCCTTAAAAAAATGTAAAAAAAAATGCATGCAACTAAACAAAAGCTAAGTAATTCTAAAAACATATATTGCCTATTCAGATATTTTTTGAAGGTATATCTTCTTGACTGCTCACGTATATGCGAGATTCATTTTGGTTACGTTTCAGATATACTTTGCCAAACGATGTCCAACAGTTTTCGTAGTTGTGTTTTTGGGCAAACATTCTAGCAAGGTAAAATAGGTATCTGGTTGATGCAGTGAGGTGTTCTGACACATATATAGGCTTTGTGGCGCCATCCATATTGAGACTCGCAGCGCTTAAACATTCTCCGGTGTTGATTTTGTTGTACGTTCTTGTAGCTTTAACAACCTTTTCTCTCTTAACAGTTGATGTGAAATCAACGATGATAGGACCGTTTGGTTTGTTTTTCAGCTTCATCCGGAACACATCACAGATTTCCGAATCCTGAATCGGAACGTTTATTACTGTGTCAAACTTTTTCGTAAATTCAATTAAAATTTCCTTGCTCCATCTGAATCCAAAGATTCCGATATAGGAACATTTCTAATTTCAACTGTGGTTGATCGTGCATAGCTTCCCTTCTAGAGTTTTAGTGCGGTTTTTAAAAAAGCCATTGTCTTGTTGAAGTTTTTTAAGTTATTTAAAACATCATCATATTTAGCGGACAAATGTATAACTGTGTCCTTGATTTCATCATTTTGCTTTGACAAGGCGTTCATGGATGACTCCAAAGAAGCGAACTTAGCATCTTGCAATTTATTCATTTCATCCAATCTTAACATTAGCTCCGCTAATGTTAAATCGGAAGTGCTGGGTGGGTTATTCAACCGACGTTTAGATCTTTTTTTAATATTAACATCTATATTATGTTCATGGCTCCCGAGGGTATAGATTGCTGAATCGGATCCATAGTGTGAGGGAGAAATAGATTTAGAACTGTTTTTCGTAGGTGTGCGTGCAACGGACATTTTGATAACTTAAAAAAACTTTAATAAATCCAAATAATAACATTGTAGTAAAATAAAATATTAATTACTTTAGACCATACACCAATATTTACCCGCTATTACAAGCGACAGTGCGAGCGTGCGTGCAGAGTACCGTTAGGATGCGCTCGTTGTCTCAGCTCACAGCAGTTGTTGTCTTGCTCGTGCCGTTTCACTGTATTAGGTGATTGTTTTGACACTTACTGTTTTATGCGCGCCTAGTACTTGGACAAAATTATATCACTTTTATTTATTTTCAAAACTAATTTATTTTTTAAAATAATCACTATAATCGCACACGTCTTAACGCTATTGCGGTCCAAGGGGGAGGGTATGTCACAAAGCACGGTCCTGAGTCACCTGCATCCATCGACTTCCTGCATGTCTTACCAGGTCGTCACTCCATCTAGTGGGGGGTCGCCCTACACTTCGCCCACCAGTACGAGGCTGCCACTCGAGAACCTTTTTTCCCCAACGGTTGTCGGTGCTTCGAGCTATATGGCCAGCCCATTGCCACTTTAGCTTATTAATCCGTTGGGTTATGTCAGTCACTCTGGTTCTACTGGGGATATTCTCATTTCTAAGTTTATCACGCAGAGAAATGCCGAGCATAGCCCCTTCCATAGCTCCCTGAGCAACTTTCAGCGTCCTCATACGGCCAGCAGTGAAGGACCACGTCTCAGTTACATAGGTCATCACTGGCAACACGCACTGGTTGTATAGTCTCGTTTTTAGGTTTTGAGGTATAGCTGACGAGAAGATGTGTCGTAATTTTCCGAAAGCTGCCCAGCCGAGTTGAATCCGTCGATTGACCTCTCGGCCGAAGTTGGAATTACCTAGTCGGACTATTTGTCCCACGTAAACGTACTCGTCAACAACTTCAAGCTTAGCACTCTCAACAACTACAGGCATAGGTACACACTGGCATAGGCGTGACATGTACATTAAACATGATCTTTGTTTTTTCCATGTTCATCTTAAAACCTATCCGTTGGGAGACACTATTGAGGTCATTCAGCATAGTGCTTAAATCCTCCAGCGATTCTACCATAAGGTGATGTACTCGCCATTGATGTTAATAATGTATCCTTCCCAGTACAGTAGCTTGGAAACGTCTTCCAATGCAGCGGCGAAGATTTTCGGGGATATAACGTCACCCTGTCTTTCACTTCTCTGCAGTTGGATAGGTTTCGTACTCTGGTTCTTTACTCGGATAGCCATCGTAGCCCTACTGTACAAACACTTCAGCACTTCGATGTACCGACAGTCCACTTGGCACCGCTCAAGGGACTGTAGCACCGCCCAAATTTTGCCGGCATCAAAGGCTTTCTTATAGTCCACATATGCCAGGCAAAATGGCAGATTGGACTCTTCGGGCTTTGTACAATTTGCCGAAGGGTATGTATGTGGTCTATAGTGCTAAAGCCTTTTTGAAAACCGGCTTATTCGGGAGGCTGGAAGTCATCGAGTCTGCGTGCGAGACGATTCGTAATGACTCTCAAAAACAGGACGTAGACGCGGCTCAGAAGGGATATCGGTCTGTAGTTATTCAAAAGAGCTTTGTAACCTTTCTTGAAGAACAAGACTACCGCATTTCTGCTTCACGCCTTGGGAGTAGTGCCACCATGGGGGACGGAATTAAAGAACTTCTGAAGGACTTCAAGTACCGGTTTTCCACTCCAGAAGTTCCGCGGTAATTCCATCCTCGCCCGGGGAATTGCCGTTTTTAAGGTGAAGAAAAACCATTCTAATCTCGGTCAGACTGACCTGCGGGATATCATCGGAATAGTCTCGGGTAAGACTTGCTCTTGGATCACAACTCACACTTGCATATGGCTTCGATGATGACTCGTACTGTACTGAAGTTGCGTAAGTCCCGCCGCATGCATTTGGAGTTCTGTCTGTTCAGTAGCCTGCATGTTGGGAAATCTGCTGAAGACTGCAGCTTCATTTCCCGTCTAACAGCCATGAGATTAAGTGTGTGATCGGAGAGTTTTTGTGTATTTCTGCGGCGGGAGTTTTTGTGTATTTCTGTCCATGCGGTCGAAGATAAGTTCTGCTGCAAGAGCAGAACTTAGCTTCGACCGCATGGACAGTTTCCTCGAGCTTGTCATTCATGTCGTCCACTGCACTGCAATCTTCTAGGCACTGAAAACGGTTTGTGACTTGAGCTGAAAGGTTTCGGGACTTTGGATCAGAGCACGAGGGGGACGGAGCGTTGACTTCATTAGACGAGACCTCTTCAACTTAACGTTTAGGTTCAGTATGCCTCTAATCATTCGGTGATCGCTGCTAGTTTTCACCTGCGATCACAGAGACATCACTTAACAGTTGGCGTCTGGTCGTCATAATGAAGTCAATCTCATTTTTTGTCGAACCGTCGGGGTTCGACCAGGTCCACTTCCTGTGGGGCCGCTTCTGGAAGTTCATCATAAATAGTCCCTCTTTCTCCATGAAGTCGTCCAGCTGCTGGCCCCTTGGGTTCCGTTGCCCTATCCCAAATTTCCCTACCTTCAGCTCACCGGTTTTTCTTGTGCCCAGTTTTGCGTTGAAGTCTCTTGTTAACACCGTATAGCGAGTTTTGAAGGAATGCATGGCTCTAGAAATATATTTCATCCACCTCCTCATTGGGATGTGCCAAGGTTGGTGCGTAAACCTGTATGACCTTCAGCGAATACTTCAGCGTTTGGTGATTCTTAGTATCAGGTACGCGACCCTTATCGATACACTCTCAATCTTTACTAAGTTGTTGACGAGAGACTTGTGGACGCTAAATCTGACACCTCCTTGGGATAGATGGTCACCCTCCCAGTGATAGAACTAGTTGCCGGATTCGGGGATTACCGTGTCTTCTCCCTCTCTTCGAACCTGGGATAATCCTATAACATGCCAGCGCAACTTGCCTACCTCTTCTTTCAGCTCCAATATCTGTTCGTCAGTCCTCAGTGTGCGTGCGTTACATGTTGCCAGATCGAGTCATCGTAGGTGGCAACTGAACCTCCCTCGGAGATTCTTAGCACCCCTTGACCCGCCGTTATAATGGTTGCCACCGTAGCCAGGAATAGTGGGGCCGCCGGGCCTGGGGGCCGTTTGTTTGTATCGTTCCTCATGGGATCATGTTTGCCATAGTTGCCACGTTTGGCGATCGCGTTGGCAACCACAGTATTTTATTGTATCATTGTTGTTATCAGGAAGATGCTGCTGTCCATTTCCTGCCTGCCTCCCTCTGTCGCCTCTTACGACACCCACGGGAAGATATGGGGTAGTGGATATTCTCAGCCGCCACTACACGGCCAATCTTTTCTCGCTCCACCAGAACTAGCAATAAATCGCTTACAAACGTATTACCCGTTTTCCTCTCTGTCCTCTAAATATATTATCCACCATTCATCTATTAATTGCAGCCTTATCAAAAATCCACCGCTAAACTTAGGTCCATTCTTTATTCCGCAGATTGCCTCATAGGGGGAATATTTGCCATAGTTTCCTCCCTCAGCAAATGTGTTGGCAACTATCTTTTTTATTATTTTAAGGTTTTATCAGGAAAACACTGCTGCCTATTTCCTGTTTCATTTTTCTCTGTCAACTTTACGATACTCAAGTAATGGTATGGAGTCTTATAGCTTTTAAGTATGAGGTAGTGGATTTTATTACGCCGTCGCTACACGGTATCTCTATCGTCACTTATCAAGATCTTGCCTTCATTTCAAGACTTCGAAATAAATTCATCCAAGCAGATACAGCTTTTGTTTTCCGCTAACCAATAAAAATATAAAAATACTAAACAAGAAACATCGTTTCTGATAATCAAGTTACAGTACTGTAAAATCATAAATCAATAAAACATTGATAAAAATATAATGCTGTTTAATCAAAACTGTTTAAGCGAAAGAAAAACTGTATTCTGATGAAAGTCTACTTCTGCTATTGGATAGGCTAAGATTATGTATCTCGATGAAGCAAAGGACTCTGTTCAAATCGCGGCTGTCAGTCCACAATTTAATGGATTATCTGAATCAGGTTTTAGTCATTCTAGTCAGTGGCAATAAATGTGTTGCTTTTTGATACGTTTTCGATACTTGAAATTTTATAAAGATTTGACGATGTATCGAAATAAAACATGTCGCCCAAAATATCGATATATCTTACCACAAATATCGATATATCGAATCATCGATATTTTTTCTCCAAGGCGGCACTCGCACAGATTAATAAATAGGTAACATGTTAACCAATCGTGATATCCGTCAGTCTATGGACCTATTAGTCTGACCTATGGTCAAGCCAAAGAGTATAGTAGGTTTGGCCAAAGACAATTTTTTTAAATGAAGGTAAATATAACTTAGAGTCATTACCATGTTCTTATCCAAAAATAAAAATTATCAACAATTAAAATATCGAATTATTTGTATGAAGGTCACGTGAGCGCTAGAGAAATGATTGTTAGACGTTGTTGACAAATAAAATGTTTAATGAAATAGTACAGTAAAAATAGAATTTAACATTGCACGAAATTTCCGTTTCAATTTTTTTATGAGGTTTAGGATCAGCATAAAATCACAAAATGCCGACAGATCCAGGTGGCGCTTCAAGCGCAATCTTGAAAAAACGTTTTCAGCCGATATCCCGGTAACTATGCACTGTAAGGCAAAAGTTATACAAACCATTATTGTAGAAAATAAAATTTCGCATCTTTTGTTTCCAGTAAATTTTTTGCAAAACTTACCGCTTACGATTTATGGCCCATTTAATGAACAGGTGGCGCTTCAAGCGCCATCTTGAAAAAACGTTTTCAGCCGATATCTCGGAAACAATGCACTTTAAGGCAAAAGTTATACAAACAATTATTGTAGAAAATAAAATTTCGTATCTTTTGTTTTCAGCAAACTTTTTTTTAAACTTACCGTTTACGATTTATGGCCCATTTAATGAACCGGTTTTTCTATCGCGGCCAATAACTCTTGAAATATTAGATTAATCAATAAAATGCATAAATTTATTTTGAAAGACCAGTTTATTTTCCAAAACTTTTGTTTGAAACTTTTTTTTCTAACATTCATACTTTTTGAGTTATAGGTCGTTTCATGTCACGCATAGCTGCCAGCGTCACCCGCCGAGCTCGGCCGACGCTCGGCAGGTGACGCGGCAGCTACTTTATGATTAAGAACCCAAATATTATTGCTATTATTTCGGGGAATTCCAAGTAAGACGTCATTATTGATTACTAATCAAGACTTACGGAGTCTCATTTTTGAAATTCGAGTTATAGAGTATAAATATCTATTATCAATATTTCGTAGGGAAATAACATTTTCTTCGAGTTACAAAGTCTAATAATTCGAGATACCGCGTATTTAGTGGTTCAGCGGAAGGGAATGGCAATTTTTTTCGACTTACTGAGGATTTCAACTTAACAAGGTTCGAGTTATAGAGATTCCACTGAATATCATAACACGCATATAATTTTTTAAGTAGAGCAACTTAATATTACCAAGTTTTTAAGTTTATATGTGAACTATATACTAATATAATTATTTTTAAATGTTATTTATAATCTTATCTACGGTTTCGAGTAAACTTAGTGATCATATACTCTTTGGATCTAAGGCGTCCCTCTAAATATTAGTATACTCTTTGGCGCGGTCTAACAAGGAGACAAGAGACATTGACGTCTCTCTCCATATGGAGACGGGTTAAGTTATCACCAGTCGGGCAATTCTTAAATAATAAAATTTTTTTAAAACAAAATAAAAAAATAAAAAAAAAAAAAAAAAAAAAAATCTTAAAAAAATAAAATTTTATATAAAAAATAAAAAAAAAAAAAAATTTTTTTTTTTTTTTTTTTTTAAAAAAATAAAATAAAATATTTTTATTTAAAAAAAAAAATGGATGGTTAATTAACCAAAATTGAAAAATAATAAAATGATATAACAAATAATACTCCGCCGGAACCCGGGATCGAGAGTAAAAGTAAAAAATACATGTGTTTTACATTTACATTCTGTTAATACGATAAAAGTGATTTGTTTCTATAATGTTAAGCGCTTTTCGTAGACGTTTTATACCAAAAATTCAATTTGAACAAATACGACTTGGTCACAGAGTTAGGGGTAAACCTCCAATTTTTTGTAGAACTATAAAAGAACGTTTAGATGAACTCAATTATAAAGATGAACTATATACGGCACGGATAGACATAGGGTTTCCGAGTGAAAAGTAAGTTTTGCGTAATTTTTTTTTCTGTTACGAATTATATTTAAATTGGTTCACCAAAATATAATTTATGATAGTTATTGAATCATGTAATGTCTCAAAAGATCTCTTCACTCAAATCAGGAATGGGTTAAGAGAGTGGAAGGCGTTGGAAAGAGAACATCCCTTCAACCCCATCGCACAAGGAACACCCCAGCCACACCTGCACCTTTTAACAATCTTGTTATAGAAGTTCTAGAGATGTGAACTCTAGTGACTTTATGCAAGTTGCAGTACGCAGTAGCAGTTGTTAAGACTATAGTCTTAAAAAATTGTTTAAGCATAAATAACATAAAAAACCTAAGTACTATCCATGCGGTTAAAGAATGGGATTTGAAATGGCTTCGCCTCTATTCATCTCTCGCTAGCACACCAGTGAAAACTGCAAAAAAATAAATGTTGTAATATGCGTTTTTCGGTACATCCTATAACGTAAATGGAAAGAAGATTGGAAGCGGCCTTTGCCACCTGGCAAACGGAACCACAAAAATTGAACAAAAGGAAAATACATGAAATATGAATAACAAAGAAATATTGTTTTGTCCGGCTAAAGGCTTATTATTATAAATTATTCTACCAATCCATCTAACAAGAATTCATTTTTTACATGGTAGAGCCATGCTGCAATTATATTAGTAGTATAGTTGTAACACAAATGGGTGGGCTCGACTGAGTAAAGAACACGCATTTGCAGAATAACAGCAGCTTAACATTGCTTTGTTTCATATGGTGAGTGTAAGAAATGGAAACCCTTTTTACTGAAAACGAGGCATTCCATATTATTCCTCATGGGTGACAACGCATCTTCATTTTGATTCGTAATTGAGATAAGAATGTCTATAGGCCACAGCGACCATTTACCATCAGGTGGACTGTGTGCCCCACAATAAATGGATGTGCGATTTTCAATAAGGTGGACTGTGTGCTCACTTTATTAAAAAAACAGATTCGGTCAAGTTCAATTGATTGTTAACAATTCAGGAATTCAAATTAAGTTAAGTATTCAAGTAAAGTTTAGTGTTGATAGACATTCTTTACAGTTTGTTTAACTTTTTTTAAAAGTTTGTTTACCTAGCTAAAACAATTCTTAGACCAACCTAACCTCTATACAACAAACCTCATTATAACAAATTACTTGGTATAACAAATATTTTCTAATCCCCTTCAAATTTGTTATATCAAGGTTGTACTTTATCTTAAAAACTATGGATCTATGTACTTTATTAACCCTTTCTACCACACAAAATATAATTGCAATATTTGGAGTTGTTATTTCTAAAGCTGAGCCTTTTTTATTTCAGAAAACCAGCTAACATTCTTAGCGCTCGTTTGGAGCACTTGAAAAAACTGAAAAGTGATAAACAACTTGAGCAATTGGCCCGTAATCATAAACTGGAGATAAATTTGGAAGAGGCAAAAAAAGAGTGGTTACAAACATTAGGCCCAAAACAAAAAAAACAAATAGCTGATCACTATGGTATTTATGAGCATCTATATGGGGAAGGATATTTCATACCTTATGTTAATTTAGAAGTACATTATGATTTAAAAAATGGCTCCTTTTTACCTGTATATACAGGCAATGTTATTAAACCAGCAGAAGCACTTGAAAAACCTTTAGTCACATATGAATCAAATGAAAATTCGTTGTGGACATTAGTCTTAACAAATCTCGATGGGCATTTAACTGAAAACGATAAAGAATATGTCCACTGGCTAGTAGCTAATATTCCCAGTAACTCCATGGAACAGGGAGATACTATTGTGGAATACTTGCATCCTTTTCCACTTAAAGGAACTGGATATCATAGATATGTTTTTGTACTATATAAGCAAAATGAAAAAGTGTCATATGATCTTCAAAAAGGTAAGATTAGTTTATACATTCTATATATTATATTACTATTTTTTTAATTCTTATAACATTTTCAAAAGCATATGACCCTGTTGGTGTCATAAGAGGTGACAGAGGGAAATAAAAGAAATGTGCAGCTGTATCTACTTGATAACCACTCAAAATAATAAAAAAGATTAAAAAGAATTCAAAAACATTGTCATAATATATTTATTTGTTTGTGCTAGCTTCCTGTCAAGTCAAAGTCCTAAGTATTTTTATAGACAATTTCTAACCATGTATCTTATTACTTTAAAGGGTTCTCATATTATTTTATTATTGTAAATGCATACTTTGCTTTTAAATGGTGATATTTCTAAGCAATAAAAAAGAATATCATTTATTTGATTCAAACCCAAGTCCAAACCAAAAACTTAAAAAAAAGATGTCTCAAGCCTAATGCAACTGCATTTACATTTTCGTATCAGAAATTAAAAAACACGAAAGAAAATTACATCCGCGATCGATATGTGATGATAGAGTACTTAATAATTAAAATAGGATAATAAAAAAATGTGGACCTTAGCTCGTCTATTATGTAAAATTAACAACATAAAATGGATATAAATCCATGTATTCTTAACTATTAAAGTGAATGACAATTTAATTTTTTTGAGCTAGCGTTTACGGTCTAGCTAGCCACTACACGCAAAACAAACTTACCGCACAATAGCGAAAAGGGATATGTTTTACAAAAAAATTCACTATTAAAAAACTGCTTAACTGAAAAGTTTGAAATTTCACCCACAGTAAGGGCATGAGTTTGTCCTCTATATACAAAAAAATGAAGGAGGGTCGTCCCTCAAAAATAAAAGTTATTAGAGTCCAAACTTACAGGATGTGGGACACCAACTGCAAAAGTGTTATTCCGAGGATATACACTTCCGTCTGATGATGCATATATTTTCGGAAAGAGCTTTCCGAGACGCCGCGAGCGACACCTTCAATTCCAGCCGCAGACTCCTGGTTCGCGAAATCACCTACCCCTTGGTTTTCGGTTTTCCTCTAATAACTCAGGTGTCCTTTACCAAAAAATGCCATTTTTAGAGGATGATGTGTCCTCAGGTGGCGCACAAAAATCACTAAAAAAAAAGCAAGTTTGGCGACTAATCGAGCGCCACACGCGATTTACTGTTTTGCTAATATGAAAAAACGGTTTTTAACTTGAAAAATCACTAAAAACTTTTTTGCGGCTAAAAAATTACACCACTAGGTGCGCCACGTTAATGTGCAAATTTTGATACTAGAAGAACACTTAAATCTTGATGAAACATTTTACCACTTTTCGAATTTTTAACTGCGGGAGCGTCACAGTTTCGAGGCGTTCCGCTTTGCTTCCTTGTACATGCGGGGATAAGTTTCTCATATTTTATCTACTGTGGATATTATATCCACCATAGGCCCATGCTCGCATTGTGGATAAAACTCTGGCATAGGGATAAGACAATTTTATCTGTCAGTGGATATAATCAGGGGATAAAATTTTTGTCTCCTGCCCGTGCTAGCCTGGCAGCATCTTCCTAGAGAATAAAAAACTGGTTGTCAACCCGAGCTACAAGTGTGGCAACTAGACAATGAAAAAAGGTTACTCTACCATTCTGTGGTGACTACCGTATTTTTGAGATTTTAACATTTTATTTATTGTTGACGATTAAATCTTAAAATACTAATATGAAACAGTGGTATGAATTACCTTACAATTATAACCACAGTTTAATCTTACTATTATTTCAGTTACCCTCAATTCACCTCTAGAAGACAGGACTTTTTACACTAGAGATTGGTACCAAAAGTACCAAGACAACATTACTCCTGTCGGTTTAGCTTTCTATCAGTCCGATTGGGATCACACTGTAAAGGATTATTTCCATAATGTGTTAAACAAAAAAGAACCAGGTATGATTATAAATATTGTGGACTGTCAAATAAGTGTTTAGTAGCCATTATTATATGAATGAGCCAATATTATATGATGTATTTGCAATATTTGATTAAAAGTATCTTTAAATAAAAGAAATTTAAAGTGCTTTAAAATATTCTAAAATGCAAAATGCATATATTTAATTTCTTGCAAGAGACCTTTTTAAGCAAACATTTTATGGCCGAAATCATTCACACACTGATAAGTGTGTCCAAAATTAAGACTGTTTACTGAACATATTATCTCTCTTAATTTTTATTTTCATATTTTTAATATAAAAGTGATGTGAAAAAAATTACAGTCTACCCAATGGTGAGTTGCTTCTGCAGTCCATAGGCACCTGCAGCCAACTTTAAACTAAGAATGTTACGGAAGTATTGATACCCCTAAGGACAAAAATGGAATGCCTCATAGCCTATAATTGTACAAACTCTCCTTGCTCTTCAGACTGGAACACGGCATTGCAACTATTGCTATTTGGTGGCAGATATAGGTATATACTTACTGGATATTTTCCAGGCAGTTTATATGTTTTAAATGCAGAAAGTTGTTACTAATTTATTAAGTATTTTATTTAAAAGTATTTTAAGGTATGTCAATCATTTACTTCTGAAAATTTGGTTAAACTTCATATAGCATGCTTCATACCCTGCCTGTACCACATATATATACACCTGTTACCACACTATATTTGTCCCCAATCAAAAATAGGCAGTAACTTTTTTTTAAAAAGCACAATATGTACTTCATAATATTCATATAAAGTACATATTATGTTTATCTGTTCATGATTTGTTTCAGTATACGAATATGATTTTCCACCACCTTATATAAGACCACAAGAATGGTTCCCCCTTAGAAGACCATTCAATCTATATATGGACAAATATAGAGATCCCAAACAGATCAACAAGGAATATTTACTGCGGAAACTTAAAAATGAGGATCCTTTCAAGAGACCACCTGCACCTTTAAGATTCCCTAATGCTCATCCCTTACCAAAGGAGATGCCATCTTGGCTAAAACTGCATGAGAAGAAAATAAGATTAGGCTGGGGCAGAGTAAATGATGTTTAAATTATTAATTAAAAGTTAGTTCTGATTCATTTTTTTTAATTTTCTTCCATATCTATTTTAAGGCTTTTGTTAAATTAAATTATTAGATCATTTTTTTTATTTTAATGCTGTTAAGCAATTTAGATTTACCACAAATATTGCCTTTGTCGATTCTTACACCTTCAGCAGTGATGTTACACATATTTAAGAAATAGCTTCAGTTTATTTCTAATTATTTTGCGTTGTAAGAAAATTTTGACATGGGGATATGAACTACAGTTAACGCTAATATTACCCACTCGAGACCGTACTAAGATTGTCTTGTAAGACAACACTAAGACTGCCTGTCTCCTGATTTGTTACCCTCTGTCGCCTTTTACGATACCAACGGGACGATAAGGGGTAGTGAATATTCTGACGCTGCCACTACATCGGTCACAGCCGTGCAATATTGAATTCAATAGGATTTGAATAGATACAATAGAATATAATTCGGCTCGACCAGGGAAGGACCACACTCTCACAGAATACCAGCGTAAAATAGTAGCTTAATGCTGCTGTGTTTCATATGGTGAGTGTAGAGAACCGGCGACCCTTTTTACTGGAAACAAGGCATTCCATCTTAGTCCTCATGGGTGACAACGCATCTGCATTTTGATTTGTAATCGAGGACAGATGTAGAGGTCTATGGGCCGCAGCAACCACTTACCATCAGGCGGTCTGTGTGCTAGTTTGTTACCCTATCCTATAAAAAAAAATTAAGGCGTCCACGAATTTTTCTGACACCAGGTCCAGCGTCACTTTAAAATGAGGCTGAAGATTTTGACAGATTTCACAGAGGCTATTTGGGAGATTAGCTGTAATAAACAGACAGACCGCAAATAAACTTTTTAGAATTTTTTTTGTTATTATTTAATAATTCGTAATAAAAAGCTGCTATTTTGATATTACATAAGAGACACTTTAATCTTTTTTATTTTTAATATATATAAATAGATTCTACTTTTACATATAAAAACCACATAAACCACCTGTGCAGTAGAGTCCGTAAACTAATGATTGTTTTTAAAAATATTTCTTTTGCTGATATTAGGGTAGTAAAGTAAGTATATTTTGCATTATGTCAATCGAATTTCGCCTGTTGTGGTTGTGTAACCTCATGGGGTTAATTAACGAAGTAACGACTATTGGAAAGCGCACGCGCTCAAAGAGCTGTATTGAAAGTGGCAACATCTCACTCTATCTTCTTATCAATATATATGTCGCACCTTTGGGAACAAAGGGTCACTTCTGCATGTATTCCAACTTTACAGGATGAGCATTTTTAAATTTTTTTGATGTGTATTTTTTAATAACTCTGTACTGTTATAGAGTACTAAGGCGATTCTCATTGTCCTAAATTGATTAGTTCTTCACGGATAATCGTGGCTATTTTTAAACAAAATACAAGAAGAAGTTTCTGAAAAACAAGCCATAAACTGAGGAAAGGCCACCAAAAGTGACTTTTTGTTAAAAATCGCTGTTTTATTGCAGAAGTGACCTTTTTAAAAATAATAAAATCATAAATGTATTTTTTATATTTGAGGATAGTTTACGTATATTTTTATTAAAGTTGTATTTGATTGGTAATATATATAAACTAAAATAAGCATAAAAAGGAAAAGAATCATTAAAATACTTTATTTGTTAATAAAATGTTGAGTAATTAAATGAAATAGGTTATATTTCCAAGATTTTTTATTTGAAATTCATACAAATGGCATCAAAATGAAAAAATAATAATGTTACATTCGAATGAAACTACAGAAAATGACTTTTAAGTTACTGTATAACTGATAAAACCTTAGTAAAACTGAATAGTTATCAAATATATAACCGTTATAGTATGTTACCATGACAGTCGCATGATGTTTTAGTATCTCAAACCCTTATAAAAGTTAAAGTTGTACTTATTATTTAATAAAATAATCAAAAAATCTCTAAAAGACATGTTTTAGGTATATGGCATGTAAAATCTGAACATTAAGCAGTTGTGTATTTGTTTAGTTTTGCGTTTCAGGTTAGTTTGCTGATTTGGTTGATTCTGAATCTGAGCTTGAAGATGTAGTACTCGAACTTGATGACGAAGAAGAGTTTGATGATGAAATTAGTTTCCTTTTACGACCTTTATCGGGTACGATATCTTTATCTCTATCGCAGAAAAATCAGATTCATTTCTTTCGGAACTGATTTCAGTGTCATCTGTAAAAATATAGGGTATAATTATGAACAGCATTAAACAAAATAATATGATAACACTTTACATAATGGGTATCATAGATTACTGATAATATACTAGAGATAGATGAGCAACTCAAATTTTATTTACGTTAAGTTCCGTGTCCATCCGTCAGGTGGCGTAAAATTAAGAGTGCTTTGGGCCCGCCCTTTATTTGCACTTTACAATTTTTTTATTTTCAGAACCATTAATTACATTGCACAAGTGCTGCAATGTAATTAATGGTTCTTATACCTCTGTCCTGGGAAGAACCAACAAGAAACACAGCGGGACGATTTTTAAAACATATTTCACTTTACAATCATTTTGTTTATACATTTTTTAAATAAATTTTAAGAGTACAGGCATGGTGGCGATCACCTCACTCCCAGGGGTTATTATTGATGTATTTTTTGATATTATAATAACACTTTTTGTACATTTTTCCTTAAATAAAACATTTCAACTTATTTATTGACAAATTTTGTACATTTTCTGAAATTTTGTTTTAAAAGCGTATATGTTGCCCCATAAAAGCACTACTGACTCAGTGGAGTCTAGTAACTGGTGTTACAAGCTTATGTTTGTTCTTAGTTTTTAAAGTATAAACATCTTTATTCTTATGAAAGCTATATGTTTTTATGTATATACATTAGTATATATACAATATATTTACAATAATACATACATTATTGTACATACATTATTGCTATGCCAAAGTTAATATATTCATTTCTTTAAATTTTTCTCTACGCGATTTTTTACAATTTAAGATATAAATTGAACGTACGGCTCTCTTTTATAAAACAAATATGGCTTCAATGTCTAATACCAAGAAAAACTGTGATATCCACAAGACTCAACTACTTCCCATTTAAGAGCACATTGATATTGAATCCTCTCCAAAGGTTTGCTTCTTTTCCATAATTTCAAGAATTAGTATCAATTAATTGTTAATAGTAGTACATCTTTAACTTAATATAAAAAGATACATTTTGTAGCAGCATTATTAATCTTTAAAATATGTACTTGATAACGTTATCATATTTTGGTAACAAAACTTTTTTTTAAATGTGTGTAATAACTATACTTTTAAAAATACAAACAATGTACAAAAGTGACTTTCTTATGCCCACTATACCATTGTAAATTAAGATTTATCAATGTGTAAATCAATATATTTTTTTTACAAAATCAGCATTTTATATATGTATTATAACATACTTATACAAAAGACAACCTCACAAACCATTTGCGAAATTATAATCAATCTAATAAATTGTGGAAGGTACCATATAATCACATAAAGCAACAAAAATAATACTAAGAAATAACATTTCAATAAAACTGATATCGTTGACTATGCACACCCACATATTCCTGAATGTGCAGTTAGTACAGCATAATATGAATATCGTGGAAGATGGTACAATTTCGAAGACAAATTGTTTGGCAAAGACGAACATTAAAAATGTCCTTACATAAATACTAATTTAAACCAGATATAAACTCAATTATATTTAAACAAACGAAAGAACAACGCTTGAGCATAGCAGAGTGCTTGTGTTTCTAAATGCTTGATGAGATGCTAGTGTTCTCCTCACTACATTACAATGCAAATGTCATAGGTTTTGAGGACTGAGGATGTTAAGAGTGAAAATATGACCATGAACATGTTTTGGTTTGATGATAAAGGAGATAAAGTTCATATTAAGCTATCAACTAGTTATAGATTTTGCAAAAATGCTACGATGGCAGTAATTAAAAAATATATATAATAAAATATTTATAACAAACATGATTAAATGGTGCCTATGAACAATTTACAATTAACACCAAAGTAAGCAATAATTAAGTTAATAGGACAAAGACAGCAAGAATGCTTTTGAAATTTAAAATAAAAAATAATTCTCTTTATTTGATTTTATTTCAAAAGAATTAAGATTTATACGCATGACGTAGTAAACTGCTAAATGGGAGCATTTATAATGCTCTTAGATAGTGATGTGGGAGAAAATGAACTACTGGATGATGCATAAGTAAGCTGACATATACCTAAGTGTAACCTGATAAAATACCTAAAATTAGGAGTAAAGCACGAATTTTAACCAACGTATATTAGGTTGTCTTTGACTTTGTGCAAATAAGTCATTACATATTAATAATTAATGTTCAATAAATATTTGTCTTTAACAACTTTGTTTTGATTTTATTTTCAAAACATTTTTAATTACCCCAAGAGAGCAAAGATACTGCAGATATGGCTGACTAACAGAAGTTAGTCAGTTTTGTTTGATTTTGTTTAATTCCTTTAATTAAAGATATTATAAAAAGTGTCTAAAACATAACTCGGAACGTATATGCTATGAAACAAAGTTTTACCTATTACAATGAGATTTCAGGAAGTTAAAAAAGAGATGGAAGTGTATGTAATCATTTTAAACAGTTTCCATCAGTAAAAATTGGACAATATCTTATGTTAATACGACAAAAGTTTTGTTTCAATATCTATATGATAACAACATATTATGTTAGTTAATGCGTTAATTTAACTAAGACACTGCTGAATACTTTCTCCTTAGTGAAAAACCACGGAGCAGAAAACATGAATCCTACTTGCCAACAATTCAAATAGTATTCAATACACTCTTGTTCAACAATTTAAATTATTCCTTGGTGGCAAATTGTTAGCAAGATGCTAATAATATATTATAAAATCTGGATTATTTACTGGTAAAAATGACCTCCACTCCAAACGAAGAGG